ATTGAAAATATCCATAAAAACTCCAGCTAATTCTGCAGCACAGCCCCTAACAACTCGTCCCATGATTCCATCTGGTCCAGCTGCCTTTCGAATGTTAATATTCTGAAAAGCGTGTCTCACATCTGAAATCTGCAGTAGTAGTGGTTGTCTGTCGATGGTAGATTCTAGTGATGTATTATAGTAGGTGCTGGAATAATGGTTGTTCCTGTTTCCACCTCAAAACGGCTGAAAAATTGATTTAACTGCTCAGCCAAAAAATCACTGCTGCTGCACAGACTGTTTTTATTACTCTGCCCCCGTGATTTGTCGTAGGCCATGCCATACCCGACGAGTGTCAGAACTCTCAAGATATTGGTAAATTCTCTGGCTGTACATAGCTTTGGCATCCCTAATGCCCCTTTTCAGTTTAGCTCTGGCCTCTCTATACTGTAGTTCATCACCAGAATGAAAAGCAGCATTTCTGGCTTTCAGTAAAAGGCACATTTATCTATTTAACCAAGTTTAATGAACTTTATTTTATTTTTATTTTATTTTATTTTATTTTATTTATATAAGTTTATGAACTGGTACTTACGTTATCAATTACCGTATCACTCTGAGATATTTGTAGAAGTAAGAGTAAAAATGTTCCATTATATATAGTTGTTAACAGGTCAAACTAACGAATATACAGACGTTTATGAACTGGTACTTACGTTATCAATTACCGTATCACTCTGAGATATTTGTAGAAGTAAGAGTAAAAATGTTCCATTATATATCGTTGTTAACAGGTCAACAGCAAACTAACGAATATACAGACTTCAACAGACGAAAGAGGCCAACGGGATCACACAGCAGAGAGCTGTTATCTTTGAATTCAGAGGTGAGGGGGAACTATTAGTTAGTGCAGGATAGAATGACAGCCATTCCAACCCAGATAAGTTCCCTCCCAGCCACTCAAACCACAGGCATCATGTTGTAAAAACTCCAACACAGGCATGGGCTTCTTCATCGTGGCCTCTGTGAATGCACACAAATGGGTTAAAACAGGGCCTGCGCTGGTCCTCTCAGAATCCTCTAGAGCTTTAGGAGAAAAGTAACCAAGTTTAGGATGCCCTTATAGCAATGTGTTTCCTACTAGTTCAAGAACTCTATCAAATGTCCTAGGAGATTCCTCACCATCCATACCCAAAAGGAGAAGAATGTTATACAGTAATGCCTCATACTTGCCTGGTGATCCTGACCAGTGAGACGTGATCTTTTCTTGTCATTCCAGGCAAAAGTCTTGTCACTGCCTTCTGCACTGACTGAATCTTCTGAAGTATATTGAGATGTCAGCCCTATCCATAACCCAATGCTGGAATCACAGCAGGACGATACCAGAACAAAGGTAATTATGTAGACTACCCCTGTTCAGGATAACTCTCAGTTAGAATGCCAGTCAAAGCTATGAGCAGGCTGTCCTTGTTCCAGAGGTTAACTTGACCTCAAATACAGCGGACGGCTCGACTCACAGGCTTTTCGAGTTACAGACTTCTCTGGCCGCAAAATTTAGGTTCTACTTGCAGCCAGAGAATCAACCTACAGACCGGAAAAAAAAAAACCCAAAATGGAACACAAATGGCTGGTTACGGGATTAATCGGTTTTCAATGCATTGTAGGTCAATGGAGACTCAACCTACAGACTTTTCAACCTGCAGCCACCGTTCCAATACGGATTACTTCCGTAAGTAGAGGGTCCACTGTATGTGGCTGAGTCTATGTGTGTGAAGAATATTTCAACAATATCTCATTTTATCTAATCTAGTCATGCTGAAACCCCTAGCCAAAACTCCCCTCCCCCGCCACTGCATCATTAAGATTTTCTGGCTTTGTACAAAACAAAGTCCCCAAACTTGTTTTTCTCATCCTCACAGGTTTTTTTTGTCATTTTCTTCATTTTTATTTTCCCATTTGTTCCTTGTCCTTTAACACAAGAAACTGCCAAATTCCGAGTAGCTTAAAGTCCTTTGAGGGGGAACCTTGCATGAGAAAAATACCAGTTCAATGCAGACATTGTAATTAATCTGTGCAGATTAGTAATTGCTTGTTTTTCCTGGAAAAAAAATTGAAGAAAACATTGTAGAAATGTTGGAGTTTGTTAGTTTGGTGTTGATCTGTTCACAACTGTGAGTAATGAATACTTTTATTCTTTTTTTCTACAAATGTCTCAGAGTGAGTAATTGAGGCAACAACCCACATCTGCTGAGTGCACATAGGGATATTGTGATTGGAATAGGGACCCAATAGAGGGCACCAGCTACATCAATTCTAACTTAAGACCTCTATTAACCAAAAAAACACAGGAGCCTTCCTCGGTCCCTCATAGAGGGGGGTGGTATGACCAAGAATGTAGATTAGCCAAAAAGCCAACAAGGAAGACGAGAAAGATGCATTCAAATTCGAATCTGGAGGCGCTGATTTGCTACCGCTCAAAATGCAAGGGGAAAGCAAAAGAAACGTGCATTAATGTCAACTCAGTGGGAGAAACTAGGGTAGGCTGTGCTGGAAAGGAAAGAAAATGTTGGAGTATGGTCTCAGCCGTGGATATAGGTCCAATCCTGCACCAAATGCCTGCATCATGGCAAATACCTGGTGCCACCACTTTTGAATTATTTTCAATAGTGATGCAGATTTTGGGCCAAAAAAAAGTGAGAACCCCCCCCAGACCCTACTAATTTACACACCTGAATGGTCCCCAGTATCAGAACAGGAAGTGTGCAAACTTATTGATGCTCTAGCAACAGATAAAGCACCTGGCGAGGACATGATTCCACCAGAGGTGTATAAGAACAACCCAGGATGGTGGGCGCCAGTTCTAGAACAACTCTTCTCTCAAATTAATGCTACAGAAATTTTCCCCGAGGGGTGGAGGCAAAGCATAATTTTCCCAATTTATAAAAAAGGTGATAAATCCATCCCCTAGAACTATTGCCCAATCAGCTTATTGGATATCAGTTCCAAGCTCTATACCCACCTTCTTTTCCAGAAGCTGGCTAAATGGAAGAAGGAAAACAACATCCTTCACCAGGAGCAAGCAGGTTTTAGGAAGGGCCATAGCACAGTAGATCAAATCTATGTGCTACATCATCTTGTATGCAAATATACCACCAGGCCATTCAAATGACTCTTCACAGCTTTTATTGACTTTTCCTCTGCATTTGACACAATCACCAGAAATCACCTGTGGGATAAGCTTGCAGAGACTAACATTGATAAGAGACTCCTAACCCTAATACAGGAACTATATTCCAACACAATGTTGGGGGTAAGGATTAGCACAGACGGAAGGCTGACAGAAGAAATTCATACTAACAAAGGGGTAAAACAAGGCTGCTTACTTGCACCCTTACTCTTTAACTTTTATATTGATAATATTGTAACAGTTTTAAACCATCCAAACCATTTTCCTCCTCAATCAGGAATTATAAGATTGCAAGTCTTATATATGCTGATGACACTGTATTACTATCTATGCACAAAAAGGGACCGAAGAGAAGCTTAAATAAGCTCCAGGAGTTCAGCCACCTAGAGCAACTAAAAATAAATTACACAAAATCTATGGCAGCTTTTCTTAGGACAGAGACAGGCATGGTGTCCATTAAAGCCAGGGAACTCTAGCTATATCCTCCTACTATAAGAGAGTGATGGATATGTTCGATCACTGTCTACCTTTAAGTACCTAGGAGTGCATTTCGATGAGAAAAACTGCTGGAAATCCCAGATACAGAGCACCAAAATATTGCTTCAGAAATCTAGTCGTGCTTTGGCTAAATTTTTCCATTCCAAAAGTGGTAACCTAGTAACCCTAGCTTTAAAAGTCTTTTCAGGGAGGATGATCTCTCAAATGCTTTATGGAATTGAGATCTAGGGTAAGAATCAGAACAACCTACACCATCTTGAAGTAAGACAGAACAAGTTTCTGAGACACAGCCTCACGACTCCTCAGGGGACTCCAGCAGCTTTTCTTAGAACAGAGACAGGCATGGTGTCCATTAAAGCCAGGGCAACTCTAGCTATATTCTCCTACTACAAGAGGGTGATGGATATGTCTGATCACCATCTACCTAAACGCTGTATGGTAGAGCAATGGAAGAGTGGCGGCTGGCCAACTTCAGTTCAAACCTTACTAAAATCTAAACGTTCAAACCTTACTAAAATCTAAATAATTCTCCCCATAAATTTTTGTTTTTTTCTAGGGTTAAAAGAATGTTGAGATGCTGGATCTACAAATTGGATAATGACCAGGACTTAGCCTTAATAGACTCTTCAAATTTCTCTCACTGGTACCATCTGCTGAATACAAACCACTCAAGGGCGCAATACTTACATACATTTACTTTTGTCTCCCTGAGAACCACATTCACAGAACTTCGTTTTCAAACCATTTACAGAACTTCATTTTCAAACTGTTGTCTTAGATGGCAAGTACATCTAAGATGGCATGTCCCTAAGCTTTTAAGGTTGTGTATTTGCGGAGCAAGGGGACATGGTGGCACTGCGGGCTAAATAATTTTTTGTTTTTTTCTAGGGTTAAAAGAATGTTGAGGAGCTGGATCTACAAATTGGATAATGACCAGGACTTAGCCTTAATAGACTCTTCAAATTTCTCTCACTGGTACCATCTGCTGAATACAAACCCCTCAAGGGCGCAATACTTACATACATTTACTTTTGTCTCCCTGAGAACGGCATTCACAGAACTTCATTTTCAAACTGTTGTCTTAGATGGCAAGTACATGAATGTCCCTAAGCTTTAAAGGTTGTGTATTTGCGGAGCAGGTGAGATAGAGGATGTTGTCCACTGTCAGCTTTATCAAAACCCTAGGGAAAAATTCCTGGATAACATTTTGGCTGCCCTACAGAAGGAAAGCCCTCAGATAAAGGTGGTCAGGTTACTTTTGGACTATGACCCATATATTATATACAGAACAGCACTGTTTGCAAAAGCGGCCAGAAACATTCACACTAATTTGTGTGGGGGACTCCCAGATATGAAGGGTCTCTTATTATTTTATATGTCTGTGAGTTTATCATGATTTTTACTTGATCATATTTGTATTTTAAACAATTGTGACAAGTTTAGCCGATACAATAAACTTGAACTTGGAGCTTGGAGTAATTGAGACCTTAAGTGACAGTTAATAAGGAAGGGGTGGACTTGCAGCTGTCCTTCTCTGTGAATCTCTGTACTTCCACTGAGTAGCAAAAGGAATTTTTACCAGGAATTCAAAACTCTGCAACAAGAAAACCCACAAGATTTCTTGGGGAAAAGGGAGGGCATGGAATGACACAGAGATAACTCTCTACAAGGAAAAAAAAGAGGGATTCAATCCCACTCCTCAGTTTCTCACCAAGAATGAGAGGCTGTGAGATACACATCCATAGCTGAGACTATGTATATTCAGGGGAAGTGCGACACCATCCAGAACTATTACACTTATCTCCCAGAACTAAGAGCCCGGTTCCACTGACAATAAGAACCACTCCTGAATCAGGATTTGCTTGAAAAACTTCGATTCAAATTTTGGAAAACACACAAAGTACAACTGCTTGCATCCCACTTCCTAATTGCTGGATTTATTATTATTTTTTAATTATTATTTATTTTGAAAACTCAAGATCCAGAAACACAGAAAAGCTATCACTGAACTGGGAATGGAGGAGACTGGAACATCTCCTATAAGGTACAAAAAGGCAGGACGGCCACAATCTAGGTGTACCCGTTATTCATATACAGAGCAGTTCAGGGACCTTTTGTACACCCCCTATTCAGATTTTCCTTGAAAGAAGGATTTGAATTATGGTATTGGGGAGCATTCTTGTGCAAACAAATATGCACCTCCATGTGCAAGCACAACATTCTGCAAATGACTGAAAGTGGATTTGGGTCCAGTTTCTGCTCCTTATTTTGCAATGAAGGAAGAGGAATATACAGTTTGGCTCCAGGCTATCTGACGGACTATATCTCCCCATATGATCCTTCTTAGCATTGAGAATTTCAAGGGAGGCCCTTCTCTCAGTCCCGCCACTCCCTCAGGCATGTCTGTTGGGATGCAAGACACAGGCTTTTCTGTGATAGCAACAATGGTTTGGGAATGCCCTCTCTAAGAAGGCCAAATTGGCCCTGTTCTCCTTCTCTTGCCAGCAACAGGAGAAGGTCATACTCTTCAGGCAGCCTTGCTATAGCTAATTGGCCAGGGAAGGTTTTTAATTTGGGGTGCTGCATATTATCATTTTACATGGAGCCTCGTGGCACAGTACGTAAACTGCAGCACTGCAGTGACGACTCTGCTCTTGACCTCAGCTCATGTAACTGGCTCAAGGTTTACTCATTCTTCCATCCTTCTAAGGTTGGTAAATTCAGTACCCAACTCTCAAGGGGGGAGGAGGACAATGTGCAGCCTGCATAATTATACACCAGCCAGAGAGTGCTTAAAGCGTAATTGGGTGGTATATAAGGAGACCCTTTGCTTTGCTTAAGTCTGTTTAAATCTGTTTTTAAGCATTTTTCAAAAACAATTTTAGCTAATTGCTTTAATACTGATGTACATATGTTTAAGTCCTTTCTTAATCATAATCATTTATTATGTTTTTAACTGGTTTGCTTTTTAAAAATAATTTGTGGGCTGCCTTGGGTTTTGAGAGAAAAGTAGCATAGA